AAAAAAAAAAAAAAACCCTACACTCTTACCGCTTCATATTCTACATGCAGTTTTTTGATGGATTCAGTTGCTACCTAAAATTAAAAGTGATATTTGATATGTTACTTTAATTTCTCAGAGTTCCTATTTTATAGTTTGTTTAGCTTCTGAATTCCAACTTCTCCTGCAATTCATTAAGCAAAGTTATTTCAAAAGTACTAAAAACTAATATCTGGATTACAAATATTTCAAAATTCTAACATTATGTGGCAATCAAAACCTGAAACAGAGGAACAATGCATAGCCTCTTAAAATCAGGTAAATAATCCAAAAAACTCTAGGAACAATATATTTAACATGATCCCAATGCCAGAAGCCAAATATTAATGCAAAATATACACTACTGAGTTTATCAGCGCTCATAAATGAACACAACAAAGTCCTACAAACAGAACTGTGATTGCAAATTGGCACTAAGAAGTGAAGGAAAATGGTCCAGGGCCATTAGAGTAATATTTTTCATTGTATCACAGAAAAAGGCAGCAAGAGAGTTCACAAAATCTTCCACTTGCGCTCCACTGCTGTCGTGATTATTGATATGCAGTATGCAGCGCTCATTGGAAATTCAGAAACTGCAACAGGCAGATTGTTAGATAGCCACAGAAACTTAACAGTGTTAGAAAACTACTAGATGTCACGATATACACGTTAAAACAGGTAAACTAAATACCAAAATCAAGAAAAAGAACACTAGTTATAGTGAATAACTCTGATTGTCATGGCAATTCTTGTACAACTATGGTATGAGACTTGACAGATTTGTTTTCCTTGGGTAGCCATACTTGATAATTTATGTACCAATTGCAGCTGGCATAATGGAATCCCAAGTGGTTGACTCATCTTCTTTGAGACAATGAGTTCTTTTAAAGTGTGACATAAACCTATGAGATGTGCTACAAGTACACAAGGGTGTACATAAGGGTGTCTATAATGGACACCCTGATGTACACCTTTGTGTACTTCTAGCATTTTTCTAAACCTATTACGTTCGTGTTAATAATTATATCTTTAGGGTATAGTATGAAGAATGAGAGTGAAGTCATATGCACTGAAAACAACATTACAGCATACCTTTGCACTGATGACCAAGTCCAATTAATATACATATTTATAATAATAACCAGATTTTGGAACAACTTGACAAATATGCTACCGAAAAACCAAGAAATATAGACAACTTTTATATGTTCGCCTGCAGCTGTATAATAATAACCAGATTTTGGAACAACTTGACAAATATGCTACCGAAAAACCAAGAAATATAGACAACTTTTATATGGAAGCCTGCACCAGTGATTTAAAATTTCCAAATTTACTAGCACAGATGAGAGGACAGAGACTGATAATTTGCTTACTAGATAGATAATCTTCTACATAGTCTTTATCAATTTTCCCATGGGCCATTGCTCCAAGCTGTACACAAACCGTACCACATAAGATACAAGTTTCAGCCAAGTAAAAAAATTCATGAGATCAAAAGCAGGTGTTTGACATACTACAAAAACAAGGTCCATGTCATTGGCAACGGTACCAACATAGTCATACATATCGACTAACTTTTCTGAACTATGTGAAAAGCCTGAAATCCAGCAAAATCAATTGATTATTTTAAAGGCTATAAAAGGGACAGAGAAAACACCAAAAAATAGAGAAAAATTTCACCTATTTTACGAGAGTTGATGGGCAAATACTGGGTTACAGGATTCTTGATAACACGCAAAAGTTTCTCGCCCTTTCCAGCTGCAGTAATATGCAGCTTTTGCAGCAGTTGCACTGCAAAGTATTGTTAATATAATTCAATTATTAATGGCACTTTTTAGTTTTCAATAATAGTTTTATTGGATAAATTTCGGATAAACTCACCCATGAGACCAGAGAAGCGCTTATATGTCCTCGGCATACGAGCATGAGGTTTGATTTGAAAGAGAATACCTTGCTGTGTCCTCACATACAAAGCTTTCAATCTCCCACTTTTGTTCACGCGGCTATCTAAAATCGTCTGGATGGCCTGAAAAATCATCAACTCATGGAATTACAAAAAATAACCTAGATCTGAGAGTATGCCCTTGTTTGAACCCCTTTTTTTCAAAAACTCATTTTTTTCAAAACTCATTTTCAACCACATATTCTCCAAAAAATAATTTTACACGTAAATCGAAAACTTTTTCTTATTTTTTAACCATATATTCTCCAAAAAATAACTATTTCAAAACACACTTTTTCCTCAAAATGGGGCTCAAACAAGGGCTATATCTCCAATAATAAAGCGCACACACAATTTCTAAGCAATATTTTTAAATTATGTGCACAACTTTTGGTTCACAAAAGGTAGGTAAGGAGAGGTTAGGCTTCTAGGTTAAACCTGGACACAGGCCTCAAGGAATGTATTATGCTTTCACGTAAAATCACACAATGGTTATTACATTTCCCTTATTTGGTAGTCGAGTTAAATATGGATAATTGTATAATTATTCAAGATATTAATGACTATGTTTATGAGTACAGAATTACACTCATACTAGTTACATCTTCAGAAACTTCAACAAATGCCTCTCAAGTTCATAAAGATCATGCAAGTGAATACCAGCATCTTCCCTATCCACATCTTTTCCCTCCTTACTAAAAACGGAGCAGATAATATTTTTTTGCTTCTATTTTTCACTTTCATTAATTTTTTCTATGCTTTCAACCATACCTAAACAACCTAGTCCCAATTCTCATCAGTAATATTAGGCACGTAAATTTGATAGAAACAAGTGGCATCCAAAACAGCAGATAAGTTCGGATTGGATTTGGCGCAATGAGAAGATCGATATGAAAAAACCAAGCTGCTCAACTCAATTAAGGCTTGTCTAAGATTGTTGGTGGAAAAATCAAGCCAAGGTTACCGTCAGTTAAAAGTTATCTGGCCAACAGATAATATTCTACTTCAAGTTCAGCTCAACTTGTTCACTCTCCTAAAACTAGGGCACTAAGATGAGACAATCCCCGACAATTGAGCATTAATGAAGTGACGAACCCAACTACAGTACAGTACTGTAAAAGATCCAAACATCACTTTTTATCAAAGTAGCAAAATTAAACATCGAGTAAAGAAAGCAGTATCAACAGTCATGGAAAAATAGAGCAAGATATGGACCAAACCTCAAACAAACCTGAAAAGCAATGTCTGGACGATATTCTGCTGGGTTCCGCTTATTCTTCATTAAATAATTCGCATGTTCATCAGAACTTAAAAGCTGATAACTCTGTAAAAACCAAAGCAACTCGTGTGAATTAGCCAAGCCCAACTCAATAAAACACATCAAGAACTTCCCCATTCCCACCATCTATACTGACCTTTCCAACTTTCCCAATTTCCAAGGAAGCCTTCTCAAGAATAAAAATAACCCCAGGCTTTTTGCCCGTATCGGCTGGAACAATGGGGATTCCGGGCATTTCATCAATAACTTGGTCTGCTTTCTCATTGTCCAACCCAGAGCCCTCTGTTTTCGCTTTCTTTGGTGACTCTGGTATATCATTGTCATCTAATTGTTCAGATTCTTCTTCTCTATCATACTTTTCTTTCTTCTTTCGCTTTTGTCCCTTCACCTTATACAGCCGCACCATTTTCTATCCTCTTTTTTAGCTGGAACAGAAAGAATAGTTTTTGCTGTACGCTACAGATATTACATCATAAACAAAACACCAATTATAATATGAGCATGTTAAAACCGTATGAAATTCATAATTAAGCTCTCAAATTCCAAATAACACAAAAAAAAATTAACAATTCGTTGAAAAGAGAAGTTTGCCGGAATAACCACTGGATGATATAGGAATACATAAACGCACACATTATAATCTGCGTCTATCTCTATAACTGCATGTATGTAAACTTTACCAGAGAGTTGTTGAGCTAAATTCTTACCCGGTACTGTGAGACTCGGAGAAACCCTAGAGTGTTCAATTGGGGAAAACTGTGGGCGAAAATGGAAAGTAAATAATTCGGTTTTGGACCCTGGCTCGAAGAAAGGCCCAAATATTCAATTATTTTTGGGGCAATTACATAAAGGACAATTTACAAAAAATACTCTTAAAATTAGGAGTCTTTTGAAAAATCATATGAAGAGTATTTTAAGAGTAAAAATTACTGTGTATAATTAATTGTCACTTTTTAATTTTTTTTGATAAGTAATCGCGTAATTTTATAGACTAAAATCAAAAGATAATACACAAGGAGTGCATCATCAATTTAAACAAGATAAAAACAATAAAAAATTCGACAACTCTTCTATCGGACTAATGGTTACAGCCTTAATCCAACCATATAAAGTTAAGTAAAACAATTCCCTAAATTGCTCTGTCGTCCGTATTCAGTCTTCAAAGCATCTGCTGTTTCGTTCTCTCCGCACACACCAAACGATGCATCCTGAAATGAGATCTCAAACAAGCTTGCTATTCTTATCTCGAAACTTTCTCTTCCATGTCCACACCACCTCATTGATACGCCTTGACAACACATAACTCATATGTTGCGAAGCCAGAATATCATTCCGCATCCAACGAACACCATCACAGTGAATGAACAAATGATCAATCGTCTCTCCATCCCTCTTACACATATAGCACTACTCCGTGATACAATATCCCTTTCTTCGAGGATTATGCGTCGTTAACACCTGTCCCTCTTATAATGAAGTATGAATTAACTCACCGTAAAAGGGATAACATTAAGTGTATCTTTAGGTGCTCTTCCTTTCTATTATGTTGAAAATTTCATAGCCATAATATTATGACAAGTTATTAATTGTCTCATATGAAGTCATTATAGTTTTCATCTGGCTTAAATATAATAGATTGCTCCAGGCATTTCAGATCTGAACTCTCATGTTTCATTCTACTATTTATGGTAGTTGTCTAATGTTGCCTAAACATGTTAGCAGCAGTTCAGCCCAGACTATTCTAATGGTGCTCCTTCGCAGGTTTTCCCGTGGTTCAGCCCAGACTATTCTTCCCCCAAGCAAGAATGCTAGAGGTGGCCGTCTTTGTGGTTCATATGATAATCAACTTAAAAATCTGGAGAAAGATGCATTGAAGATAAAAGAGCATGCTCAACAAGGCCGGGGAATAAAACGCAACAAGGAGGAAGAACTCAGTAGTATTCAAGATAAGTTACATAATGCAAAGGTATCCACATTTTCTCTCAAGTTCTCTTGTGAGTGACCAAGCAACTGTCTTCTTACAAAATGCATTTGCAATTATACTCATAGAAGACTCAAACATAGAAATGGCAAATGTAAAGAGTTTTCATGTGCCAATGTCTTTGAATGATATTTGTGACATCTATGTTGGAATAAAGCAGCAGAATGCCCAGATATATGATAAGCGAATGAAAATCTGTAGATAATGATATTGTTGGACTGCTCCATGTAAAAGATTAAGCTGTTAGGAAAGTGACACATGTAGAGTTTAGTCTTCAACCTCTTAATTTCCTACAAGTACTTTGAAAATGCTTGTGATTTTAATTTGAATTGTTGATAGTGTCTCATGATGGAAATGATTGCATATTAGCGAGCTTATTAAATTTAACAGTGCCACAAAAACTTGGGTGAACTTTCAGATTGATGGCGATGGAGGGCTCCTGGATTTTTACTTTACTTTATGTGTAGCAGTTCGACGATATGATATTCATTTTTATCCCAAATTTACTATTATGTGCAATGATTCTGACTAATACTGTTTTTTGGAGTTATACTCTAGTTCTAACTATGCACTACCTTCAGAGAAGGCGCATGAATGCAGAGAGGGAATTAAGGTCAAAAGAATTTGAACTGCAAGATGTGAAAAAGTCGATCTCTGCAGAAGCCAGTTCTGCACTTGAATCTACTGTAGATGAGCTCCATCAAGAACTATCTGTTTGTTACTTGGACCCTTGCCTGTCATTTTTCCTTCCCTGTTACTATTTCTGCTATTTTAACTGTGCATATCAGCTGTGGTTTCTGATTGGTATTAAACAGTTTCTCATTTGAGTTGTTCTTAAATGATATGCAGAGGCTCCAACATGCAATACAAGAGAAGGAGGATTTGTTAGAAAAGCTTGAGATGAGAGTAAATGAAGCAGGAAATAAAGCTAAAGATCTTAGAGCTTCATTCGAAAGTTTGTGTGGTAAGCTAATATATTATCATCTTGTTAGCTTTAGAGTTTGCCAATTTTATGATATATCGTTGCCTTGCTGTTATTTTCTAATGTAGGGTCGGCAAAAACCGAAATTGATGCATTAGCAGAGGCAGAGCGCATGCTAATGATGATTGAGAAAGATTTACATGATGCAGAAGCGGTCCATTTCCTTTGTCTAATGCATTTCTTGATTTATTTTTTCCTTTCTTTTGGCCATATCATAATTTATTTGAGATTCTAATATTCCACTCTTATCCAGGAGAAGAAACATTTCGAGAATGTCATGAGTACACGAGTCCTTTCTGACCTCAATGATGCAGAGGCAGAGTATCGGGAGCTTCAACACAACTGTACGGTACACCTCTGACCCTGCTCTGGAAAGATAAGTTAGTATGTTTCATATATTTTTTATTTTTTTGTATTCTACCAAGGGGCGACTTGACAAAATGGCTCACTTTCTTGGGTTTATATATTACATCTGTGCTATCTAGCTTGTTTCACTTAGGCATAGCCACAAATTATTGTGTAACCTGTGCTTGGGAACCAAAAGTGTTGCATCTATGCATATCATCTTCCATAACCTTCTTCTCCCGTGTCTTGTACTCTTTTACAATTTGGTTTTGGTACATTCTGTTATTATGTGGCTAGATGCTTCTACTTTACTTTCCATGCTACAGTTTTTATAGAAACTACATTAGTAGTATGAAGTTAGCTATTTTTTATTCTGACCTTATGCAAATTATAAGTGAACTTCTAGCTATACCTGATTTTAACTTCATGGTGGAATCACAGGAGAACCGCCGGAAAGCTTCGATTATATGCCCTGAGAGCGAGATTGAAGCTTTAGGGGGCAGTAGTGAGAGCAATCCAGAGCAACTCAGTGCTCAACTAAGCAGGATGAATCAAAGACTTCAGCGTGAGAGCCAGAGGTAGGGATTTGACATGTTTTATTTCATCTTTGAAAATATGACAAGCTATGTTACATCATATGAGATGTTCCGAATTGCAGATTTCCAGAATCTATCGAGGATCTCAGGATGTTGTACCAAAAAAAGGAGCGTAAAATCCTAAGGAAAAGGCAAAATTACCAAGCCTTTCGAGATAAACTAGAAGTAGGTTAATCCTTCTTCCTCTGTCTCGGTTGCTTAGAGATAAGTATTGTCATTTAAATTTGCGATTTTCTGTGTTTGCCTTACTTAAATTTCCCACTCTGGAAAGAGACACCTGACTGCTGTAGTTGTCAAGAACTTTTTCAAACACTGCTTGTCACTTTTACCTATGTATGCTCATTTCCTTGATCATGACAGACATGATTTTGCACGACTTTCTACCTTAATCTTGTCTCCCGTTATTTCTTATGTGAAATCTTTAATTAATTTATTAAGTTGTCTTTATCAGTAAAAGAAGCTAATTTCATTGTATTAGCATCATTTGAGGTATAGAAGGGGAGACGAGCACTTTTTCTGCATTAGGTGATTGCTTATTTATTTTTTTCATTATTTTGTTCCTCCATTGCTGGGAGTCCAAACTACTCCAATTTCTTGATATCTGTTTCCATTGCCAGATGTCTGTACTTTTGCTGATTGTTTACTTTGCTATACTTATGATTTCCTTTGTGATGTATTACCCACTTCAGTTTTCCCTTACCTAGTTTTATTTCAGGCATGCCAGAAAGCATTAGAGTTGCGATGGAGCAAGTTTCAGAGGAACGCAACTCTTTTGAAGCGCCAGCTGACATGGCAGTACTGTTCTCTTCATATTCAGTTCTTATTCAAAGTGATATTTCCTGTGCTTTTGATAGGAAAGCTTGCTGATTCTTAAAACTTCATTCCTTCCTGATTGATGAATGTTTCCATTAGATTCAATGGCCATTTGAGAAGGAAAGGGATCAGTGGTCAAATCAAAGTTAGTTACGAGGAGCAAACCCTCTCAATAGAGGTACAGTGACTCTTCCCCCAATGATGTTGATATGAATTGAGAAGGATTGCACTCAAATTCACCAGTTTGGCAAGATTTAGTTTTCTAGATTCCCCTTGCTATGAGCTGGTGTTAATCAAGTATTTCCTCATCTGATTGCTTTCTTTATTCACAGGTAAAAATGCCTCAGGATGCATCAAGCAGCACTGTTCGTGACACTAGAGGGCTTTCAGGTGTCCTCCTTTTTCTGTTGATTCTAAGTATTGCTTCGATTTTGAGGGAGCCCAATTTGAGCCTGAACTGTGTGGACAAAATTGTGGAAACATTTCAAATTTGTCGATGAAGGTGGACAAATCGACAAAATTGAATTGACAAGTCAGTTTACTTGTGGTTAACAGTGTTATGTTCTTTCTTTGATTGTATGAACAGGTGGTGAGCGTTCCTTTTCAACTTTGTGCTTTGCCCTCGCGCTTCATGAAATGACAGAAGCACCATTCCGAGCAATGGATGAGTTTGATGTATTTATGGTATGTTTAATTAGTGAATTTTATTAGTTACCCTACTGTAAGTTATGTGCTTAATAAGGTATGCGTCTTTACACTTTTTCAAGTATGAAACATGAATTTGCCTCCAATTATTAAAGAACGCATAGAAGAGCGAGTTAACACCTCAAACAGTCTTCCCTGCTTTGTTTAATTGGCATCTTTCTTGTTTGCTTGTTTTNAAAAAAAAAAAAAAAAACACGCTTGCTTGTGCGGAGACATCCATGTAATTTACAGCACTCCTTTCTATTTTGCGACTCAAAACAATTTAGTATCACAATGTATTGGTTTCTGTTTAATCTGCAGGATGCAGTTAGCAGAAAAATCAGTCTAGATGCTATTGTGGATTTTGCATTGGCTCAAGGATCCCAGTGGATATTTATAACTCCACATGACATCAGGTAAATCTAACACGGACACTCCTATGTCAAAGTCGGAGCACCATTTTGCTTTGCCTGCCTTCTTACCTTGGTTTGATATGAAAAATATGCGATTGTTAGTTTCTAGTTAGTGTATTTGTGGTTTGATCCTACTTATTCAAGCCATTACCCCGTGTTGCATATGTAGTACTAGATATGATTTGACAATATAATGAACAAAATTTTAGCTTATTTCCTTTCTTAGTACTCTCAAATACCACCCATCATCCCTACCAAACATACCCTCTGATGCATGCTAGTTCTTTCAGGCAGCACAATAACTTATGGTGGACGCAAATTATCTCAGTTTCTTTGGGAGCCCTTACAAAAATCCAAAATGATCTGTCTTATTGCATCCTCTTTGTTCTATCTTTTTAAAAAAAAAAAAATCGTTTGTGTATCGTAGGTGCTCAAGGTTTTGTTAATGTAATAGTCGAATCAAAATTCAAATGAGATTCAAAATTCTGCCTCCATTAACCAGTAATAACAAATCTAATCATACACATTTCATAGAACCTTGTTAAGTAATTTCTTGGGAAAATTGCAAATTGCCGCCTTTTCATTTATGAATCCTGAAAGTTATTTCCTTTGGTTGGTCATTTGGAAACCCCCTGCAAAGTATCCCTCTTCCACCAACTTGGTTAAAGGCGTTATATTTCATTTTTTATCGTCAATCTGAAAACATAGAATGTCAGTTTTTTGAGCTATGGTGATTCTGCAAGTTAACTGTTTTCGAATTTTATGGCGTAAAATGTCGTGCATAGTTATTGCTTTGAATCTGTATAGCTCACATCTGATGCGTTCGATACAGCATGGTGAAGAACGACGAAAAGATAAAGAAGCAGCAAATGGCAGCACCTCGTGGATGACTATTATTTTGGAGAAGCTGCCTCTTCTATTTTAGGTGTAAAGACACTCACTTGAGTTTCTTAAGAGCATCTCTACAAAATTCTTTAAACATTAAATGCTCTCTATTTCAAAAAGTCAACCCTTAAAATTGTACTCCAATACTCTTTAAATTAATATTTTAATTTAGAAAAAGTGGGTTGACTCTCCTCTATAATTAAATGCATTCAAAGTATTTTTAATTGAAGAAAATAATATAATAATTTGGAGGGAAGTTAATGAAAATAAAAACTAGGTAAAAAAACAATAAATATTTTTTCAGTGTAGTAAAATTAAGTGTTAAATATAAAGAGCTTATTGGAGTATTTAAATTTTTTTTTTCCCTAAATTTATAGATTCTCTTTAAATTATAAAATATGCTCTTTAAAAATAGATATTCCGAGGGTTTAATGTAATTTGATTCTTCTTGATTACTTGCGCAGTAATTGGCTTTGTTTTTTTTTTTTTTACTTGATTATGTTATATTCTTGCATGTAGTTTTAGAGCAAGTTAGGTCAAAGCCATGGTGATATATATGGATGCATCAACGGTTCTTTATACAAGGAAAATTAACTATAAATAGGTATTTCGTGATTGTGTTTAAAAGTAACTTATATTTACTTTTTTAAGTATGTCTCTATGTGAGTTAATAAAAGTAACTTTTAGATTTATATTAAAATATTTCATCGAGTTTGTCTAAAAAAGCCACAATGGCCTCGAGAAAATCAAAATTAGTAAATAAGCCATATGATTAATGCACATGACTCATTTGATGAAAAGATGTATCCTTAAATTTTTTATGTTTTCTTGTTTGCGAGAGACTGATAATGGCTATGTATGTAGTTTGCACGCATTTAAAGGACTTTTTTAGGTTCAGTTCCTCAACAGGTTAGCAAAACATGCACAAATGCATGTAATGCAGTAGACAGAAGAGTCCACCTTCTCTTAGTGGATTTCTATCTTAAATAAAACTCCTCACTATATCAACTTGAAAATATTGCTCATCAAGATTAATTTCCTTGAATTTTGATAGAATTAATTTTGAATTTATTGAAAATAAAATTTGATATGCAGCTATTGTATTCATTGAATCATCCCCAAAAAAGAACGACGATCACTTCGAATAATTCCTTTACAATTGGAGTGAAGTTCATCAAAGAATTCGGCACTCTATTTATGACATAGTTTAGTTAGTAAATTCTTGATCGAGTTATTGTTACAAATTTTCTTAAATCTCGTAAATGACTATTTATATAATAATTGCCTTGTTAAAAAGTTTGTTTGTCAAAAATTTGATCGGACAAAAATACCAGACAAATAAAAAAAAAGAATGTGAAATTTTTAAAGTAATAAATATTGTATTGTTAAAATCTTATAAAAAAATTTCAACTGGATAAAACTTGAGCGAAGGAAAAATAGTGAAGTTATACTCTGGATATTAATTAATGAAAAATTTTGTATGAAGTCATCCATGCCTTGTGTGTTAATGTTTTCAATGTTAAATTTTGATGAAGTATGTATCATGTTGTCTTATTGTAGCTTTCAAACAATGCCAATAAGATATTTATCAATCCTTGATGATTAAGTCAACGTGATGATTTGTTGATAGATTTTGTTGCTCTATTCAACAGTCTCGTATAATTTAGAATATATCAGAGTAAAAACCAAAAGTTATATTGAGATTAAATATTTTGTAAGATATGGATATTCATTACATTAAAAATATGTTCTGTTATATTTTTTTGTAAGAAAGATCTTGGGGAAAAATCCCAGTGAAAGAAAAATGGTACATTATTTTTTTGAATAAGCTATGAAAGTTGTCTAATTTAAAATCTTTACAGAAAAACTCAATGCTAATTTACTCCCTCACAATAATATCACTAGAGATCTGTATATTTTATTTAACTACTCAAATATTGCAATAGATAATGTCTTTATGAACTTGTCTGCCACATAAATAATAAAAAATAGCCACATGTGAATAGATTGATTGATGATCTCGAATCATAAATTATGATACTTCAAGATCAATAAGTATTCGTTATCACATAGGTGATAAAACGGTCATCTTTTCACTTCAAGTGACAAACAATCATCAAGATCAAATGAGTGTATCATTTTTCCATATGAAGTTTTTTTAGGATTTTTCTATGTAAGTTGAATAATGAAAAATGCTTTTAATCGGGTAAAATCTCAATCTTCAGGTCGAGGCAAAATTTTATTTTTCGAGAATCTTTTATCTTAAATTTGTTTAAGTAATCAACTGCATTTGAAAGCTCCTCGAAAGTTCTAGTATTTCTCGATCAACTTATATATCAATAATGACAAATCCAAATATTAATAAATATTTGGTCATTCTTTGATCAATAAATGCATCTAAATGGATAATAATTCGAACTTTTGGTTAAAATAGTCTGGTGCGAAGATCTAGATAATATGATGATGCATATGTTTATCATTTACACCACCTTAATTCCTTTACATAATGTTGAGAAAACTATTCAATTAAATTGATTGTCAGTAAATGGCTTTATAAAAAATCACTCATTAAGGTTTAAGATATTTTATAAGGGTTCAAATTAAAATATTTATTTTTTAACTTTCTTTAATGTCTTTTTCAGTACACTACGGTCAAGAGATTTTACATATTATATTACACTATAAAAAATAATTCGATATGAAATATTAGGATTTGATCATAAGTTAATTATAGCGGAGAGAACCTTGATGTTGGCCTGATGTGTTTAAGTGTTGATGCATATAACATAGCGTTCTCCAAATAAAAATGAGAAACGTTTTATTCTCAATAATCTTACCAATTGAAGACTGTTAAATTATTTACGAAAACAAGAGCAATAGAATGTTCAATGGTCATCCCAACCAGTCATTAAAAAAAAAAAAAAAAATTGGAATTTCACTTCCATTATCAAGATGAAATTGTCTTAATCAATAAACGTGGAAATTGTGCTCGTAATTGAATAATTTAAGCAAATAATCTTGCAAACTTCATGTTATGTGTGTACAATAAACACACGTGACCATCTAGCGAATCCAAAATACTTGTACTATAAAATTTCTAGATAATCTATGTAATGAACTCATAAAGTTCATCCCTACTACGTTCCCGATATGCTTGTGATTTAATCTCAACTTTAGCTAGTAATGATCTAATAACCAATTTGTTCTGAAAACAATTGACGCATTAGAATTCATTGAATGGAAAAAATTCCTAGTTATTCAATTAATATTTATTTGAAATCTCAACTATTTCCGCTTCAATATTAATTCAAAATGATCTGATCAGGCCAAATGATAAAAAAAATATTGAATTTGTTCAATATAATATTTACTTCAATTTTAATAATATTGGTGTAATACAAATTATAAATCATATATTAGAAGCTAAGTAGTTTTTTTTTTTTTTTTTAAAGAATTGAGAACAAATCATTAGCAATGAAAAGTTTGTTCTCTCCTCTTACACCGTATTGGCTTTTCTATATCATTCAATCATATTTGTGAAACCTCACATAACGTTAATAATAGCTTTCATTAATCACATGATAAACTTAACATAATGATTGGGATACAATGAGTACTCGAGTGAATTATTGTTACAGATGAGAATCATGAAGGACAAGCTAACAAGGATCATTCGTATGTTCCAAAATGATCGATTACAAGATCAAAGAAGCCATCCAAAAACTTATCCAAGCAACATGGACAGAATGTTTAACAACAAAAAAGATATCAAACTTCAAGTTATGCATGAATAAAGAACCAACCTTAGTACACTTACTTCAAGCTAAGTTAAAAGAAACAAAGCCAGAACACGAGGGCACGCGTGCACGCGAAATAGGGCGTACTCACAGGAAAGCAAAAAATTTAACCGAGGCTAAATCAAGTAAACGGCAGCCATGTGCCACCATACACGGTGTGCGCAGTACAAAATCTGAATCTGATTTTTTTATGAGTTATTCAGAATTTCTTTATTATTGCCTATATATATGAAGCATTATTCATTGTACAAGAACAATAAGACATTATTTTGAGAAATTATTATACAAATTGAGATTATTCACTTTCGTATCTTGTTTTTAACTTTCAATCTTTGTAGCGTTCAACCCTTCCACCCTTGGTTATTGATTCAAGAAATCAATAGGTCGAGGTTAAACTCTTATTTTAGTTTTCTAGGGACTCTATCAAATCTTGTGTGGGTACTAGGTTACATCCTGCAATGGGGTTCACATTAGTTGATATTGGAGCTTTGGCTCTAAAATCAAGTTTTTATTCATTATCTTTCTTTTGTTTTTCAGTTACAATTCTTCTTGTTTTTTCTTGGTTAAGTCTTCTTCCCATTCTTTAAGTCATTCACATCAACAACATTCAAGAATAGTTTAGTGCATTAACCATAGTGCACCAACACAATCTATTTTTTATTTTTTGGTTTGATGCCTTATTTTCGATCTTTCCATTAAGTTTGTGTAAAAAAAGGAAAAGAATATTCTAAAAAAATGCAAAGAAAGTTCCAAGAAAAAAAGCCAAGAATATTTAAGAAAAAAGAAAAGAAAGTTCAAGAAAAGTATATTCAATTTCAAGAATCCATTTCTTGGAATTCTTGTGATGTTATTTTCGAAGAAACATCATCTTTATTACTATTCGATGCATATATCATCCTTGAGAATCGATCATGTTGTGAAAAGGCATAAACCAAATTCAATAAATCTTTTCTTGAAATTCTTGAGATATTTTCATTCTTCTTTTGATATTTCATTCTTGAGTGCAGACACATGAGGATTATTTTTCCTAGTAATTGAGATAAATTTGAAAAAGAAGAAGAACAATCAATTCTTCATGTTGAAAGCTATGCAACGACAATTTAAGAGAATTGTTTGGAGAAATTAGGGATATGCAGGATACTGTGATTGCAAACTCACAAAGGAGACAACCAAAAAAAGTTCCTAATGTTAGGAGGCAAGATATATGT